AGGATAGGCTAGGATAGGATAGGATAGGATAGGATAGGCTAGGATAGGATAGGATAGGGTGAGATGAGAAAGGATAAAAGACACCATACTAAACACAACATTACATGACTGGTAGAAAGGACATGACAGGATAGGATAAGAGGCAGGACAGAAATATGTAATACATGACCATAATCTTGCTTAAGATGTTTCTCCTAAAACATCTTAGAAGAAACACAAATATAATCAAATAAGAATGTTGTTGATGTAAAGTAAAGAAAGGGTGTGCTATAAAATGAAAGTGGACAGCACAGCCCAGATCTTGAGCTTGGGAGAATTTGGTGAGAAATTGTTGAGATCATATTGAGATCTTGGCTAATCTGAGGACAGTTGTGACATTGTTAAGATCTCTTCTGAAACTGTGAAATTAATAAGATATTTTTCTAAAGAAAAAAATATGAGAATGCATTAGACTTAAAAAAAAGTGTCCATTCATCCTCCATTTAATCTCACCGCTGTCTGGCAGTTGAGGAACAAAACAAATTTCTCATTCTCATCTTTTCTTTAGTAAAAATTAATATGTGCTGATGCTATTTCCTGTTACTCATGCCAGGCATTTAATTCCTTATGAATATGTCATACTTACGAGTATCTACGTGCGAGTACACCCCCTTACAGACATTTTTGGTTATCTACGATTAGGTCATCTCCTGCCTCTCATTGTGTTTAATATGATGAATTTTCCTCTCTCTCCATTATCTATTTAACGCTATACATCTCCATCCTTCTCCATGCTTGCTCATACGTACATAATTATTATCATATGAATACACTCACATTCTTTTTTTTTTTGCTCATTTCTATCTTTCTCATTCCTTCTCCCCCCTCTCTCTATTCTCTACATGATACCCTGCCATGTTGTCATGGCAACAATCAGGACCCAAGGGCTCGGTTGCTAGGCAACTCACATCACCCGTAAGAGGAACATGAAGATAAAAAGTCAGAAACAAACAAACCACGTAAATCAAAGGTTAATTCTCTCATTATTTGTGAGTGTGTGTTTTAGCACCAATACTTCAATAACTGTCATTTCTTTATGTTCATATTCAGAACATCAGTATCACACACTGTTCCCTCAAACACAACACACAATCCTTCATCTGACAATGAAACGGAACAGCAGCAGATATTGTGATTGTATACAATCTTAAAAGACTGTGCATTTGCTGGAAGCCACTTCCTTTTGCTATCGAACTCAAACATCGGGTTCTTCCACAAGCTGTTTTGTTGGGGGAAAAATCTCTTACCAGAGAATGACAATGATGACAATGATGAGCCCTTAAGAGGCACAATGTGTTATCTGAATTGCAGGTGATGCTAGTGATTCTGAAGCAGCTTGCTGATGCTACAGTTCCGTACTGGGCCACTGAGTGGCAGTGCGTGACTCAGCAATACAGCAGCATCCTCAGAAACTCACCACACAAGCTACTGATCTCTTAATTATGGACTGTGTATGTGTTGTTAATTGCTGAGTGTTACACTATTCAGTTATGTCAGATCCCAAGCTGCATGGGAAGTGCTTGGAAACTATTCTGGTATGGACACCACTGTCTGAAGACTGTAATTATGATGGTAAACAACCTAAATATTTGGAATTAGAACATTAAAGGGACAGCTCACCCCAAAATGAAATTTCTGTTAGTAATTACTCACCCTCATGTCATTCCAAACCCCTAAGACCTTCGT